GTTCCACAGGCAGACTTAGATGGCTTGTGGAGATGCTCTCCAGCCCTTGTGTGGGTGGTGGACAAGGTACCAAATTCCTTACACAACAGCACTTGTATACTTCCTCCCGCCTTTCCCCCTAAGTGGCAAAGATGTTCCAAGTAGCTGAGATTGTGTGTTGTCTTAGGCACAGTTTATAACTCAAAGGGGTCAGGATCTTATACAGCATCATGAGCATTTGCAACAAAGGAGAGGGGAGACTGGCCAGATGTCTTGTTGACCCTCTTCCTCTTATCTCGTATGTGTGTGGTGTATATGTGTTCATATGTGAGTGTGTGTAGGTGCCTGTACACATGTGAGTACGTGTGTACAGTGTATAGAGGCCAGAGGTCAATGTCACTGTCCTTGATTGCTCTCCACTATAGTTTGAGACGGGGTCTCTTACAAAACCTAGAGCTCATTGATTTGGCTAGGCCATCAGTCCAATGAGCTCCAGGGATCCATGTGCTTCATCCTGCTCCCCCAGCACTGTAGTTACAGACATGTGCCATTCCATGGCTTTTATCAGATTTTATGGTTACTGGAATCCAAGCTCAGGTCCTCATGCTTGAACAGCAGCTGTTTCACCTACTGAGCCACATCCACAGCCTTCCTATTATTTTAATTGTCAAATCCTCACTTTCTGGGCTGGGGAGATGGCTCAGTGGATAACAGTACCTGATGTGTAAACATGAGGACCTGAGTTTGAATCTCCAGCACCATGTAAAAGCTAGGTATGGCTGTGTATGCCTCTAACCCCAACACTGGGGGATGGGGAGGAGGCAGGTAGATCCTAGGAGTTCACTGGCAAGCTAGCCTAGCTGAAAACAGTGAGATTCTGGTTCAGTGAGGGACTCTGTCTCAAGGGTATAAGTTGGGTATGATACAGGAAGATATCTAACACTCTCCTCTAGCCTCCACAGGTATATGTACCTACACACACACACACACACACAATTTCCTGGAGAACATCCCTTCCATGTACCACCAAAAGCTATGGCAATTTGTCCACAGCATGAAGGGTGGTGATGTCCCTCCCCTCGTGTAGGGAATGGCTGAACACCTAGTTCTAACAGAGTTCTTTGCCATCTTCCTTCTATTATTTTTCCAAAGCAGCATCTTACCCTAGTTCTCTAGGGAAAATGTCACTAAATGCCCTAGCTGCTGCTGCAGGAGGTCAATCTTCCCACTGTCCTGCCTGTGGCACCTGTCATCAACATTTGGACAGCTAGCACATCAGCACACAGCAGTAGTCCCATAATGCTCAGCAGCCTAGATACACAGGCCCAGAGCTGCCAGTTTTCCAAGTGGTGCTGGCTTCACAGCACATGGAGAGAAGGGGGAAAAGACTTCTTCAAAGAACAGGTATCACAATACAAAATCACCTGAGAACAAAACAAAACAAAAATGACCTCTATCAGCAATGCCCAGTCCCAGATAGCAAGATGTCCTTCTTGGAAGGTACACTGTAACATATTTCAATACAGCAACACTTCCCAGCTTCATAGTTTTAAGGATAATGCAATCCAAAACTTGTAGCTGGTTGAACAGGAAAAAGAAACTTATTTGTGAAGTAGGTTAACCAAAGCAGCAATGTAAAGGAAGAGGCCAACCTGGGGTCTGCTCCTCCCTGTTCTGTCTACTTCGATCTTACTTTGTCTTTTGTGAGAAACTAAGAGTTCCAAGTTAGAAGATTCTTCGAGAATATAACCAAGTTGGAAACAGAGAAAGATGATTTAAAACCAAATTTTCTCTTGTTATCAAAGAGAAAACAAAGATACTTTACTTCAGGGTCATTGCTTGGATAGAAGTGTCTAGAACTTGTGTTTTATCACAAGATAAGGTCTGATTCTAAAGCATTTCCGAAAAGATGACCTTTCTTATTCTTTTTGGTTTTTGAGACAGATTCTCATATATCCCGGGCTGACCTTGATCAAGAGATCTTCCTGTCTCCATCTCCCAAATGCTGGGATTACAGACATGGGCAACCACACCCAGCTCAGAAAAGATATATTCTTAACAGTGTATATACATATGAGAAGGCAAGAGGAAAGTTGGGTACAGCAGCTCAGGCCTGTAATCCTAGTGCTTAGGAAGCTGAGGTAGGAAGATTGCTATGAGTTTAAGGCCATTCTGGGTATCACCGCAGGTGTTACATAGTGAGATCCTGTCTCAAAAACAAAACCAGAAAAAGGGAAAAAAAATTAAGAGGAAGCTCAACAGAACTAGCATTTCTTTTTTATTTCTTACATTTATTTACTTATATGTATTTGTGTATGTGCCTCTGTGTGTGCTCATGCACATGTGCCATAGTACACATGTGGAGGTCAGAGGACAACCGACAGGAGTCAATTCTCTCTTTCCAACATGTGGGTTCCGAGGATCAAACTCAGGCCATCAGACTTGGAGTGCCCTTACCCACTGAGCCAACTTGTCCACTCAGGACTAGCGTTTCTTGAGTACTTTAAGCAAGCATCATATTAAGAGCTTTCACTTATAGCATGCATTTATTTAACAAATCTGAGCCCCAATATGTAGAACACTGTTCTAGGCACTGGAGACACAAAAATGAAAAAAACAAACAAACAACCCCCCCCCAAAAAAAAAACACCAGTTAAAATCTAGCTTATACTGAACTTTTATTTCTGTGGTACTGGGTATCACAGGACTTCATGCATGGCTAAATAGGCACTCTACCACTGAGTATACCTCTAACTTTAGTCTACATTTCAGTCAACGCTGACAGAATTAAATCCATGTCAACTAGTGATAAGAGCTGTGAAGACATATAAAGCAGATTATGGGAATGCTACATAAAAATTTTTATGAAAATGAGGCAGGGAAGAGAGTGCCATTTTAGATAAAGTTGTCCTGGAAGGCTTCTCTGACTGAAAACAGTATATTCTGTGCTAGGAACTGGGCTACATACACAATGTGTAGCATTTCATTTAATTTCAGTAACTCTTAAATGCATTGCTATTCCTATTCCCATATACAGGCAAGAAAACAGAGCTTAGAGAAAGAAGGCTCTTTGTAGGGTGTGCTGTTAGGTAAAAGGGGGACCAAGGTCTAGGTTACATAGGAGGTGAGGAAGCTAGGACTTGAATCCAGGAAAGCAACTTGACCCATGCTTCTCCCCAGCTATACTATGCTACATGTGGGTGAGCAAACAGTCCAAGAAGTCAATGATGGTGTGGTCACAAAGTGGCAGGTCCATCTGGCCTCCCTGGGAAGAGATTAGTGCAATTCAATCTTCCTCAAATATCAGACTATTACTCTCATCACCAGCTGAAAACCAAGCCTTAGCTTGAAACAAGAGGAGAATGACACCTTAGGCTCTTTAAGGCCAGCTAAACACTGCATACATTCTTCACCCACTCTACGCAGCCACCAACACAAGATGATGAAGGGAAGGGAGACACTTTGATAATTGTCTGAGTTATCTTTTCTCTCTGGGAAACAAGAACAGCACAAAGGATGACTGAGCCAGCTGCCAACCAAGCCCCGGCAGTTCTTGAGGTGGAGTGGAGGGGATGGGCAGATGAAAAAACAGCCCTTTCTAGCCCCATTTGAAAGAAAGCACAGCTCTGCCTCATGCACTGTTTTAATCAGAAGAGGAACAGGTCACCTAACTCCCAAGGGTACAGGGAGAACAAGGAGGAGGTAACTGAGAAAGGAGGCTAACATACTTCATGCAGGGAAGCCCAGATGGGAAACACCACATCAAAAATCAAAGGGCTATTGCAGAATTGCTGGAAACCCCAGGTTGGGGGCCCAAGATCAAGCTACCAGAGAAGCTAAAAGGAAAGCGAAGCAAGCAGTCCCTCAAGTTCAAATCAAAGGTTATGGTCTAGACCCACCCATTTTGTAATACTGTTTCAGTCACCACAGCCAGAGAACCTGTGGCCAGAGTTAATCAACAACCAAGGTGGGACAGAAAGCAGGGGTTCATTCCAGACTGGGGCACATTAAGATACTGTACTCACAACCTGGATTTCCATCTTACCTCCCAACAGACTTGAGTACCCCAGTTTAAACCCTAAGCTGACTTCCTAAAGCCTACAGACCCTCTACCCAGCAACACACACACAGAAATCCAGTGCTCAGCAGCAACTTTTATCTCCAGCAAGTCAGATCTCATAGCCCAACATTGCACCGTACAAATTATGACCTGAATGGCAAGAAAAAACTGTGTCACCTAGAGAAACCCAATTAACAACATGACTCTGCTCTCTTCTTTTCTTTCTCTCCTCCAGTCATATACGGGGCACTCAGTGTGGCTGGCTGGCTTTTCCTTAGTTAATTCAAAAACCAGAAGACAACGTGCACAGGGGCCTTCTGAGACGCTAACCTAGAGCCAGGAACCCTGCTGGATGACACCATGGACGACTAAAGAAGCTTGGAGGGCACAGGATCAAAACACCACTTAGGAGAGTGTTCACCTTGAAATCAGTATGTTGCCCTTAAGACAAAGCTTCCTACTAAAGAAAAGCACGTAAATGCTGCTGAAAGTTCTTGAAGGAGAGAAGAGTAAGAGCTCCACGTGGGACAGTGAGTTGGGTATTTGAAAGCATTCCTGCCGCAGTAGTTTGCTCCTAACCACTTTCCTAATTAGCCCCTCCCTGGAGATCGCCATCCCCTCCCCGCTCCCCCAGCACTACTTTCCCAAAACCCTCTGGACTGACCACGGGCAGCATGTTTAGTGTGTGTACATATATGTAAACATCCTCTTCCCAGTCAAGTTTCTGAGAGATCAAAGCTTCCTCTCCACCGCCGCCCCCCCCCCGCACTTGTCTATGCTCCCAGCCCCACACGCTGCAGAGTTGGTAATGGAATATTCAGGGACCCCAGAGCCGGAAATGCCTGGATCTGGACTGCTGCACTTGAACGGGTTAAAGTGAACGTGGGATGAAGACGTAGGAGGTGCGGGGTGGAGAGGGAAGGTGAAATGCCGCCCAAGTTGCAATTCAGGGGTAGGCGAGGAAGAAAAGGAAGGATGAGGGGGAGGCGGTCGAGGCAGTGGCAAAGTCAAAAATTCCAGCCTAAGGAAGAGGAGGTGGAGGAAGGAGACACACAGGCCAGGTGAAGAGGGCCGAGCGCGCGTGAGGAGCCATAACAGACTGCAGGTGATGCGGAGCGCGGTTCAGGAGACCCTCAGACGCCTGCAAGACAAGGGGCTCCGGTCCCAGCGTCAAGGTAGGGGTGGCAGGGAGGTGTGAGGGAGGGAGGCACAGGGTGGGGACCCAACCGGCTCCCAGAATCTGCAGCGACTGGAGCGAGGACAGAGGAGCAGAGGGCCGGGCACCGCGGCAGTGCCAGCCGGAGAAGGGCAGGGGTCGCCCGTGGGGCCCGCGAGCAAGTGAGGCGGGCAGCACCTGGCTCCCTCCCCTGCGGCGAGGTCAGGCCCGGGGCGGCGCTCACCCGCAGGGCGGACAGGTCGATGTCGTCCAGGCTGCGGGCGGGGGCTGGGTCGCCCATGGCCTCCGCGGGGAACCGGGCCCCGGGGTCGTCACGCTCCGGCTCGATCACTCCACTGCCGCCGCCGCCGCTTCTCCCCCATCGGGCACCGGGAGGCGGGCTCCGCCGCGCCTCCCCCAAGGCCGGGGAGAGGGAGGACCAGCGCGAGGACCGACCCACCGCTGACAGGAGCGCTCACCAGTGAGCCCGCAACCCGAGCCGCCCGCTGTCCTGCGCAGGCGCCAAGCGGCCGTGCCCCGAACGCGCGGAGAGGGAACGTGACGCGAGCGCGCCGGCGCCCCCTCCCGCTGGGCGCCGACACCTGCGCGCAGGCGCAGTAAAGCGGCGAAGGGCGTCCGCCGGGGAGGGCAACCGGGATCCTGGCGTGGAAGGAGTGGGCGGTGGCCGCGCAGGGCGCCCACTGGCTGGTGCGCGTGCGCAGACACCTTGCCTTCCGTTTCCCCGGTTTTTGCCTCCTGTTCTCTATTTCCTTCGTTGACTTCATTTGAGGCCTTTCCTTCCCTTTCCCTCCTTCTCTCGTGTGCCTAGCTGCCAATCAAACCACCCACTTCTCTATTTGCGGGGGAAGGGAGGCGGGACCCAACCCCCTCTATAACTAGGGGGGTTGTTATGGTAACTCCCCACGCGAGGGCTGGTGGCCTCTAGATAGGACGGGCTGTCCACCCACCCAATTGCCATGGCAACAGAGGAGCCGCTAAGGGAGGGGCCTCCGTGAGAACTTGGCTGGAGAAACCACGTGGGAGGGAAGGAGCGGGCACTGTCTGCCCTTTTACTCCCTTCCCTAGCTGGCATGCTTGGCAGCAGATCTCAGCTCTCAGGATAGGGACTCCTACTGCACACCTTTATCTCTGCACCTCTTAATATGGTGTTCTGCACAGAGCAGCTATCGCTGGAGTCACTAGTGGCAAAGCAGACGAGAAAGAAACTATCCAATCCCTCCAACTTTTGCCTGGGTCATCTTAGATCTAGCACCTCCAACCCTTTGGTCTCACTGGAGGATAGGTAATGCTGTGGAAGAATAGACAGTCATGTTCTGCCCCTGACAGATGTGCCGTGTGACCTTGAACAAGTGGATTTGCTTCTCTGGGCTATTCTTTCACAGAGAAGTTGAGGGGAGAAGGTTTTGTGTATCTCAAGATCTCTTCTAATAGCAACACTCTGAAAATCCCCATCACTAACCTTAATATAAACATCACTTAGGGGAGTTTGGAAAAGAACTGAACACCGCCCTTTCTGGACTCAGCACAATGGATGCACATTCAGACTTGCGTCCTCTACTCTCCTCCTGACCCATTTACCTTAAGCCACAATCCCCAGTTGTCTCCATTACTGTATCATCCTCCCATGTGGCCTGTCTGCCCGAACCCCTCAAATCAATTTTCCACACCCAGAAGTGATTTTTTTTTTTAAACTCAAATCCGATATCCCTCTGTGGTTTAAGACCATTTTCTGAAACCCACCACTCAGGAAGTTGAGGCAAGGGGACCAGATTTTCTGGCTAGTTTGGTCTAGGTAATGAGATATTATCTCTAAACAATATAAACACATAAAATAAATGAAGATGCCCTTTGCTGGTGCCCACTGGCTCCTGAGTAGTGGTATCAAAAGCTTCAGGATACTGCCTGTGGGGATGGAGAGATGGCTTAGCAGTTAAGAGCACTTGCTGCTCTTCCAGAGGACCCAAGTTCAGTTCCCAGCATCCACATCAGCTGGCACACAATTGCCTGTATCCCCAGCTCTGGGGGACCCAGATGTCACCCTCTTCTGGACATACCCACACACATGTAGCAGGGAGGGAGGGAAGGAGAGAGAGAGTGAGAATTAAAAGGTTCTGACTGCTTTTCTGATCTTATTTTTTTTTCTTTTTTGACCTTATGTTTTAATGCTCCACACTTCAACTTCCCATGTTCCAGCTGTACTGAATACTCTCCTCACAATTCCCAGGACTTGGTACCTCTTCCCGGTCTTTTGCACTGTTTCTTCTCCCTGGGGTAGTCCCCAGTCTACAGCATGGCCAGTCCCACTGGCCTTCACTTTGTCCTACATCATCACATCTCTATGAAATCTTTCTTTAAATTTTTTTATTAAATTTATTTGCATGCACACGAATACCACAGTGCACATATGGAGGTCAGAGAACAACCCAAGGGAGTCAGTTCTCTCCTTCTTCCATGTGGCTCCTGGGGACCTAACTCAAGTCTTCAGGCTTGGTGGCAAATACCCTTACTTGTTGAGCCATCTCACCAGCCCTGAAATCTTTCTTGATCTGCCAACTTTGGCTTTTCTGTTTTAGCTGCCTTAGGCCTTTGATAACATTTGACACTCTGAATCATAAATGTTTCAATCTACTTAAAGCAGAAATGTCAGTCTTGCCAGCACAGACCTGGCACCTGCTAATGCTTTGGGAACACTACATTGAATGAAGGCCTGTTGTCTAGTAGGCAACTACAGTAGTTCAAGGTTAAACCATTGATAATAGGAGGAACAAAATTTGGAAGCAAATCATTAAACTCTCTGAGACTCAATTCTTATCATCTATAAAACAGAGATAATATGGCTGGGCATGGTGGAACATGCCTTTAATCTCAGCACTTGGGAGGCAGAGGCAGGGAATCTCTGTGAGTTCAAGGCCAGCCTGGTCTACATAGCTACAGGGAGATCCTATCTCAAAAAAAAACCAACAAAAAAAAAAACAACAAAAAAGAGAAACAAACGTAGTGTTGCATGCCATCCCAGCACTTAGGAGAAAGAGGCAGAAGGATCATAGAAAGTTCTCAGTCCGCCTGGTCTACATAGTAAGTTCCAGGAGAGTAGGGACCACAGGGAGATCCTGTCTCAAAATCATCATCATCATCATCATCATCATCATCATCATCATCATCATGAATTACAGGCCAGCCTGAGTTACACAGCAAGACTCTGTGATAGCTAGGCATGACAACAGGAGGACTGCTACAATTTTGAGGCTAGCCTGATCTATATAAGCAAGACCTTGCTTCAAAACAAATAAACAAGCAAAAAGCTCCAAGGTGAAGAAGGGGAAGGCTGACAGTGAGAAGCAGGCCTCCTTTCCCCTGAACCAGCCTGGGGTAGCTGCTGCCTTGCCCTACACTTAAGGAAGTAAAGGTCCCCCTGGGAAAGAGGCACTTAGTGATGGGGATGAAGCTGATTAATAGGATGCCAAGTAATACCTGCAACTGCTTTGTGTGGGAGGGGATTTCTTTCCTATCAGTGTGTTGTCACTTTTTGGTGTGTGTATGGTGTATGCATGGGTACATGAACATGTGTGTGTACCAGTGCACATGGGTGTGAACATATGCTCGTGGAGGCCAGAGGTTGATATTCAGTATTTTCCTCTATCGTTCTCCCTTATTTTTTAAGACAGGATCTCAAGACTAGCTGGTCAGCAAGCCCTAGGGATCCTCCTGCCTCCACTTACTTCTACAGTGCTAGATTACACACATGTTAACGCCACACTCCTGTCCCCACCCTCCAACCTTGGGTGCTAGGGATCTAACACAGGTCCTCTGCACAACAAGCACTTTACCAACTGAGTCATCTCCCCAGTCATTTCATTCTTTGAGAAAGGGTTTCAGTATGTAGCCCAGAGAGGCCTAGAACTGTCTATATAGCTCAGCTGACTTCCAACTCACAATCTTGCTGCCTTAGCTTCCAAAGCGCTGGGATTACAGTCATGTGCTACCAGTTTAGCTTTGGAAGTCATCTCTTTTAAATTTAAAAGATTTTTTAATTACTCATTTATTTTGTATGTGTGTGAGCATGTGCATGCCATGGCATACGTGTGGCGGTCAGAGGACAACTTGTGGGAGCCCATTTTCTCCAATTCATCATGTAGGTCCCGGATATCAACTCAGGTCATCTGATTTGACAGTAAGCACCCTTACTTGCTGAACCATCTCACTGGCCTTGGAAATCACTTTTTCTTTTCTTTTTAATTTTTTAAAACAATTTTATTTTTATGTGTATGCATGTATTGCCTGCATGTAGGTAAGTGCACCCGTGTCGCACAATGCCCTCAGAGGTCAGAAGAGGCTGTCGGATCCCTTGGGACTGGAGTTATGGACCTTTGTTAGCTGCCATGTGGGTGCTGGGATTCAAACCCGGGTCTTCTGCAAGAACAACCAATGTTCTTAACCACTGAGCCATCTCTCCAGCCCCAACTTTTTTTTCTTTTTTAAAAAATACTTTAATTTTTAGCCGGGCATGGTGGCGCAAGCCTGTAGTCCCAACACTTGGGAGGCAGAGGCAGGCAGATCTCTGTGAGTTCAAGGCCAGCCTGGTCTACATAGTGAGTTCCAGGACAGCTGGGGCTACAGGGAGACCCTGCTTCAAAAAGACAAAAAAACAAAAAAACCCCACAAACTTTAATTTTTATTTTATGTATTTATTTCAGACATAGAAGTTATGCATTTTGTATGTATGTTCATGTAACACACACACACTCATAAACCATGCACCCACCACTCAGCTTAAAAAATAAATTACAGGGGCTGGAAAGATGGCTCAGTAGTTAGGAGCACTGACTGCTCTTGCAGAGGACCTGGGTTCAATTCCCAGCACCTACATGGCGGCTATGAACTGTCCTTAACTCCAGTTCCAGGGGAATCCCATGCCCTCTTCTGACCTCCAAGGCATTGCACTCACATACAATCAAATCAGGCAATACACTCATATACATAAAATAAAAATAATAAAATATTTTTTTAAATAAATAATATAGGCTAGAGAGATGGCTTAGTGGACAAGAGCTCTGGTTGTTCTTCCAGAAGACCCAGGTTCCATTCCCAGCACCCACATGGTGCCTAACAATGGCCTGTAACTCCAGTTCCAGGGGATCTGATGTCCTCTCCTGGCCTCTGCAGGCTTTGCACAACATGGGTGCACTTACATGCAGGCAAAACACTCATACACACAAAACAAAAATAAGTCAAAATTAAATTAGTAAACTACAGGGGCTGGAGATGGCTCAGCAGTTAACAGTACTGGCTCTTCTTGCAGAAGACTCAGGTTCAGTCCCCAGCACCCACATGGCAGCTCACAACTCCCTATAATTCTAGTTCTAGAGGATCCAATGCTCTGTTCTGGCTTCTTCACTGACACAAGTGTACTTACATACATGCAAACAAAACTCTCACACACAAAAACTGAAAATAAATCACAAGAATCCAACTCTGTAATGTGTGGAGTTTGAACAACCAAGTGGTATGTTAACCATGTCTAATTTATATGTATGTACCTATGGTATATGTGAATCTACATGTAAGCAAATATGTGATAAGGACACATAGAATGTGTCAAAAGACATAAAATACCAACAAATATTGTGGAAGATGGTAAAAAATATAATAAATAAATAACAGGCCTAGACAAGCAACTCAGTGCTGGAGTGTTTGCCCAGCATGCCCAAGGCATTGTGATGATTCCCAGTAGTATAAATAAACAAATAGGGCCGGGTGTGGTGGTGCTCGACTTTAATCCCAGCACTTGGGAGGTAGAGGCTGGACCTTTGTGATTAGAAGGCCAGCCTGGTCTACACAGTGAGTTCCAGGACAGCTGAAGTTACAAGGAGACCCTGTCTCAAAAAGACAAAAAATTAAAAAAATAAAATTACCAAACTGAAGCTCTGTAAAGCCCATTAGGAAGTAAGCATCCTCAGTGCAATGTGTGCAGTCCTGTTTCACCTGCTAAGATGTCTGTCTTTTCCCGCTGCACTTGCTCTGCCTAGCATTCTGGCCTCTAACAAGTGGCCACTGAGCATTTGGAAGGTGGCTGGTGTGAGGCATGGATGTTTCTATTCTTTTTCACTTTTCTCCTTCCACCCCACCCCCACTGTCTCATTTTCCAGTGCTGGGAATCAAGCCCAGATCTTTGTAGGTTAGGCAAGCCCTGCATTTCTAAGCTATTTCCCCCAGTCCTCTGTCATTTTAATTTACTTAAACTAAAATAGCCAAATACATGTAGTGACTGCTGAACTGACAGTGAAGGGCCGGAACACATGTGCATGAAGGTGGGAACTATGCTTCATGCACATGTGAAAGAGTACACTTCTGTGAGAGTACAACAGCATCTGACAGATGGCAGGTATTCAGTGAATATTTAGATCAGTGACTAAATCTTTAGAGCAAGGGAGTCAATATAAGTATCATTCCTAGTCAGGACCACCATGGTCCAAAGAAGTGATCTGGCAATGTTACCTACCTTGCCAATGATAAATCTAGGATTTGGGCCCAGTTCTCCCATATGTCAAGCCTCTATCTCTGGGGGGTGGGCACTGGTGAGCAAACCCAGGGTCCATTCTACCACTGGGCTACATCTCCAGCCTCAAGTCTGTTTCCTTAAATACTTCCAAAGGGGCTTTCTAAGCAGCTCTCCATGATGTCACTTAAACAAGCAGCAGCCTTAGCCAGGCCCCTCTGGGCCACCTGTCACTGGCAGGTGCAGTGTCAGCTCCAGGGTTCTCCCAGTGTCCTGGTTTGGCTCTGTTCTTCCTTCTACTCAGGTGGCACTATGTGAACACCTTGTCCTTTCAGGTGACTGAACTTGGGAGCCACTGATAAGAAACAGAAATGCAGACAGGAGAAAGAAGCAAGAAGTGAGGCAGAGAGGTGATGTGGGGGACTAGTGTCCTGTGCAGTCAGGGAAGGACACCTAAGGCAACAGCCCAGAAAAGGTTCGGGTCTTTTCTACACTTTTATTTATGAAATGCTTAATGAACTGGTACAAAGTTAGTGTCTGTCAGCAGGTTGGTGGAGGCTGTTAGTGCGTCCTCCCCGAGGCTGTTGGCAGGGACTGCGGCCAAAAGAGGCTCTATCCTTCCCTCCATATTGGCACCAATGGGCTAGGAGAGGCCCTGGGGTATGGAGGGGGTTCTAAGGCAGGAGGAAGAGTGAGATGAGGAAGGCCCAAGACAGAACCCCCTTCTCCCAGAATAAAAGGCTTGACTCTGGGCCGCCTGGTGGGAGTTAACTAGGCAGCAGGAGGGCAGACCTCACTTGAACCCTCTCCTACTTCCCCAGGCTAAGCTTAGGAGTGCCCCCTTTGGCTATTTCTCAAGTTAGTGGCCTCTATGATTCTCTAGGACCCCTCAGGGATGTCCTCCCCAGAGATTAAAAGGCACTGCCCCAGAACTCAGGGTCCGAGGCAGATATCCAGGTACAGTGGAACCCAGCAGCTGGTGACCTCTGCTGGTCTGGGCCTAGGCTATGTCCACACTTCTAAAGGTATCATGCCCTCTTTGCTCCCCAGTGGGGGCAGCAAAGACTCATCCTCCAGAAACCTGAGAGGGAAGTGAACCAGGTGTCCCTGGATCTGAGTGAGCTCAGACTGAGCCAATGAAGGGCTGACCATGGCCAGGGGCTCCACAGCCACGTATTCCCGGAGAGTCCGCAGGGAACGTGTGGCATTAGATGGTAGGCAGCGGAAGATCTAGAGTTAGAAGGGAGGGCATGGGAGCCAATCAAGATTAGGGAGATGAGGCTCCTCTAAGAGAGCTGCATAGGCTAGACTCCACTCCCCATCCCACCTCTCAGTACCCTTGGGCTACTGAATCTCAATAGAAAATACTTCCCAGACCCTCATCACCCTTCTGAGAATGACTATGGTCATTCTCTCTATCCCCACCCTGAAAAGGATGACCCATCAGTTCCCCAGGCCAGACCTCCCTCAGCTCCTACCTGTTCATAGAGGTTGGCATTGTTCTCTGCTGTTTCTTGCCACAGCTGGAAGAAGTCATCACAGACAGGGTCTCGGAGATCCAAGTCTGGCCGGGCATTTGCCCCAAGAATCACACTATGGAAAAATGGTCCCAGTGGGCCCAATTAAGATCCTTAGAGAACCTGACTACCTGGTACTTCAAAACAGATGTGTTAATGCTAAAATAAGTATAAATGAGTCTAACAGAGCTTTGATTTGTTTCTACTTTAATGCTTTAAAAAACAATTACTTTAGCTAGGCATGGTAACCTGTGCCTATAATGCTAACACTTAGAGGCAGAGGGCAGGAGAATCAAGGGCAGCCTCAGCTACACAGTAACTCCCTGTCTCAAAAAAAACTTTAAAAAATATTGCTTCTCATTTTTTGGGGGGTATTCCTAATTTGCTGATACAAAAACTGGATTGTCTAGTGAGAAATCCAGTACTAGCCCCAAGAAATCCTTACATCTAGCTCAAAAGACAGCCCCTCCCACTCCTCGCACCTCCATCCACAGTACTCCCTACCTAAAGCAGTGTTTCCGCAAACTCAAGGCAAACCTGCCGGCCTGGTACTCCACCCCGTCCATGAGGGATGGCTCCATTTCGGTGTCCTCAATCAGTATGGCTAGCTCACTGTCCCGCTTCCCCAGCAAACTCCTGTCATTGATGTTAGCAGAACCTGGAGAGGGTTTAGGTACACAATGCATCTGCTTGGGCCCAGGGGGGCCCTCTCTGATACATCACCTTTACCAGAGCATTAGCCTGTAGCCCCCACCTTGTGCTTCAGCTGTAGTCTCTGTGTCTCCCTTAGCTCTCTGCCCCTACCAGCCCCTCTGACAGTGGGGGGACCAGGTCCAGCACTAACCAATGATGACTGTCCGGTCATCTGCAATGAGCATCTTGCTGTGGATATAGATGAGCTCTGAGACCGGGTGCCCGCCCAGCTCTCCATGTGTGCGAAGCCCACAAATGGACATGTAATCCTTCCATGCTGTTCCCACTGTGCACAAGAGAGATAGGGAAGGAGTGGTGAAGTGAGGTGTCCTCTGTATGTAGATAGGACTCCATCCTACCTCTCGTCTCACTTCAGAAGCTCTGCCTAAAGTGTAGTCTGTGCACTTCTCCCAGCAGTGAAAGGCCACTTGTGGTCTGAACAGCATGCAAGGACAGTCTCTTTCCCCAAATTCCAGGACTCCAGCTACCCAGGCTCACTCCCTGCAGGGGTCCTGGGCTTGTTCCCCCAACACTCACTGGCTGCTTTGAGACGATGCAGGATTGAATACTCCCCACGACACAGGGTCCTGAGAAAAGAAAGGGTGAGGGAGGTAGAGGCTGGAGAAGAAGGAGGAACCAGGAGTGGCCGACCTCCAAGTTCCTGGGATTAGGACAGAGTGGGAGGGGCACAAGTGCAATGGGGCCATGGAGGGTGAGTCTGGCTTGGGGTGGAGAGATCACCTGTAAGTGAAGTGCAGAATGGCCTGGATAGAGTTACCACCTCCTGTGGTGATGTCACCCTCAAAGCCAGGGAGCAAAGGCAAAAGCATGTAGACCCGGAAACATTGCCCCAGTCTGTGGGAAAGGGGAAGTCAGAAGTCTGATGGTCCCAAAACTGAGCCCCACCCCTCCATTAGAGCTTAAACCATGCCCCCCATCTCCACCTTCCTGACAGTCCACCTTACTTGTGGGCCTTCAGGATTCTGTCCACAATCTCATCGCCCACCTTGTTCAGAACTGTGCGCCCATCTGAGCAGCTGATGAAGAATTGGTTCTGGGACATGGACCAAAGAGAAGCATCAGCAGCCTGGCCCTGACCTTGGGCCCCATCCCACGGCTCTGCATTTGCTCCAGGTCAGCCCTCAAAGGCTGACCCTACTGGTATCCCCAGTCTCTCTCCTGGGACACCCTTTCCACCCTCGCTCCTTGCCTCAGTCAGACCTCAATGTACAGAAAGTGTTGGCTCTCTCTGATGGTATGCAGATAGGCATTGAGGATGGAGTTCTCCAAAGTCCCTGCTGACCATCGGTCCACAGACCGCAAGACCTACAGGACAGTGGACATGATGTGATTCTTACCCAGAAGAGGAGGAAAGGGGTGGGGAGAGTTGGGGGGGGAATGGATGGACTCTGAGGAAGAGTGGGTGGAGCCACTGCCTGAAGACAAGAGTGGAAAGGGGCTTAAGTCAGGAATGTCACCTGCACAGTGGTGCACTGCCCGCCTGGGAGTGTGAAGGGGAGATGGTGTGCAGTGCTGGTGGACTTGGGAAGCAGATAGGGGTACATGGGTATCTTGTACTTGGCCTTGATGGTCTGAGGTGAAAGATTAGCAGAGTCAGCAGGAGGTGGTAAGCTAAGCCTAGCTCCCTCCCTCCCTTTAGCCCCAGTGGAGGGAGTGAGCACTTTGGTGAAGTTCCAGCGCTGGATGAAGTGCCGGGCAAGGTCCCGGGCAGCTGGACCATGGACAACCACTGCAACATCTCGCCATGGCATCCGAGGTGTAGTCTCCCTGTCAATGAAATCTGGGAGTCCCAGGAGAGTCAGGGAAGAAGCCAAGGCTGGTGTGTTGGGATTACTTAGAGCAGGAAGAGGAGGAGCCTTCCAGAGGGAAGGTCACAATGTCTATGACCCACTGCATCTCATTCCCAGTCCCAGCTCCTGGAGGCCTTGGGGGAAGGGAGCCTCACCTTCAAAGGGCCGGTCCAACTGCACCCAGTCCTTGGTGATGAGATTGCTATAGTCCTTGCCCAGCCAGAAGCACTGGTTATGAGAGAGATCAGGGGTGTTTGCACAGTCTGTGCCTGGTGTGGGAGTCTGTGGGAAGAATACACCAGGGCCAGACAAGGTGAGAACATGGGGACCATACAGAGGCCAAAGAGAAGACAGGAGCACTGCAACTGAGAGTCTCATCTCCCAGCCTCCCCTTGAGCTGTACTTGGAGCCAGTAAAAATGGAGGAAGAGAATAGGTTATAGACTTTTTTTTTCTTTTGAGACAGGGTCTGTGTATCCCAGGCTGGCCTTCAACTTGAAATCCTCCTGTCTCACCCTCCTGAATGCTGGAATTACAGATGTCAGCTGCCATGACCAGATGGTTATAGTATTTCCAAAGTAGGTTCTTGACCAGGCACAGTTGCATACACCTACAACCCCAGTACTCTAGAGGTTGAAGCAGGAGGATGACAAATTTGAGGACAGCTTGGGCTACACAGAGAGACCCTGTCTAAGAAAGAACAACAAAAATAGATTATTGGTGTCTCAGAAAGGCTGAGAAATTCTGTAGGTGGGAAATTCTGGGAATGATCAGAAGGGAAGGCTGAACTGGAAGGGCTGTAGATTTAGGATATCGAGGTTTGGGGCCTTGGAGGGAATTACCTGTGAATCAGCTGACTCGGAGTCCCCAAGGTCAGTCAGTCGGTACTGTGAATCATCCCAGCGGCCATAGGCGAGGTCCAGCCCCCCCAAGAAGGCCACTACTTGATCTACCACCAGAAGCTTCTCATGATGGGCCCACAGTGTCACATGATCTGGGTGGCGCATCACCTGGAGTAGATGTGGAGGAGTACATGGGGGTGGGTTAGGTGACAGCAGAGTAGAAAAAGATGAAAGGATGAGACTTTCTAGGGAGAGGAAGGGTTGAGGGGATGGGAAGTGGCTGTGGTGTAGGAGGAGACTCGGGCCCAACAGTCACCTTTATGTTGGGGTGCAGCAACATCAGAGTCCTCTTGCTGTAGCCACTGTTGATCCCCAAGGCCAATTCCACTTCCTTAAACAGAAGTATGGATACACGGACACCCTCTTCCTGGTAGTGAGTAGGAAAATCAAATCCTAGTGCCTTTCCCCAAGCAGCCCCTTTTCAACCTCCCACGCTCAGGATTCCTGTATATCCCTCTACCCTACCTGGGTGCTCTCCCACATGCACCCTGTCATGATGCTTACAGCAAACATGTCATGTGTCATGTATCTGCTCACCCACGCATCTATCCACCTACACTTCATTATCTACCCAGCCATCTTCCCTACCAGTTGCTCATCATCTACTGTCTATCATTCATTCACCTTCCCACTCACTGTTTACCTCTACCACTTCAACTCATATTCTTCTATCCATCTCCCTGTTTGTCATCTGTTTTTTTTCTTTGAGACAAGCTCTCTAGCCCAGGCTGGCCTACAAGTCACTGTATTGCCGAGGCTAACCTTGATCTCCTGATCCTCCTGCCTCCACCTCCCAAGTGCTGGGATTACAGGTATACCACCATACCCACTTTCTTTTCCATCATCTATCCATCTATCCATCCAGCCTTTGTCATCCAAGCATCCTTCCTCTCATCTACCAATACTCATAAAATCTCCCTATGTGACAGGTGTGCTTTGTATTAGATTTCATGATGTTAGTACAGAGACAGAGATATACACTCCCAGGTAGCACAATTAAGGGTCTGGGTAGTGGGAAGTGAATCTATGCCAGTATTTGGAAGAGGGAACTGGGAGGTGATGTTTGACAGATGCTAAGCCAGGAGGAGCACATTTCCCGACCCTGAAGCCTCAGAGTCCCAACCTTCTCCCAGGCTAACCCACCCATAGCCAACGCCCTATCACTCCTCCTCTCTGGTCCAACCATGTTCCTTACTGCCTTCCTCTTGAGCATAATGTCCAGTCTCCAGTCATCTGAATGGGCTGGACGCTTCAGGTAAATCTCAGGACTCAACCTAGATGTCATGACAGAGGGTGAGGAGCAAGATAAGCTACACACAACCAGCCACTCCTCCCCTGCCCACATATGCTGCTCTGCCACAGGCTATCCTGCCCTTCTTGTGTGGGCCTGACCCCACTCACCACCAGTCTGTGATGAAAATCTCCTCTTGAGCTCGCAGGATGGCATCTGCCACAGCAGCAAAGTAACCTGCCCCATTCACAAACCTGGGGGGAGGCCAAGCCAAGGAGGTCAGGGGAGTCAGAAGCCAGAAAGCTCTGGAGAGTGAAGACCAGAGGACAGTCATGGGTCAGAAGTGACAGCAGGGTCAAAGATCAGGAATGATCAGAGAGGTTAGATCATCTCAAATATATCAAGTGAGGTTTACCAGTATGATTTGCCAGTATAAGCTAAATCAAAATGACAAAACTCACAATAAAGAAATTTGTCAAAGATCAGGATGATTACTACATCACACATAAAGAGCAGAACGATAGGATAGAGATACAGAAGCCAGCTGAAGAGTAAGCAAGAACTGACAGTTCACAGTGAAGAGTAAGATGGTCAGTCATAGGAAAAGATGTTATCTGTTTCACCAATAAACAAGAAACTAGGGCAGGGCTTGGTACACATGCCTGTAATCCCAGGCTGAGACAAGTTCTGTCTCCAAAAGACACATACATACAAACACAAAAGAAGGGGAGAGAAGAAGAGGAGGAGAAAAAAATTAGGGCTAGTCCATTCCCAGCACTGCATATGTGTGTATACATACATATATATGTGTAGAAGTATACACACACCAGATATGCCATGTATACATGTACCACACACATAAATCCATGACAAGAAATTACAATTAGATCATTTATTTTAAAAACCCAGTGCCTTCTGTTGGGCTTAGTGTTTCATGCCTACAATTTCAGCATTCAGGAGGCTGAAGCAGAAAGATTGCTGTGAGGCTGAGGCCAGCCTGAATTACAAAGTGAGCATCTGAAGATGTGGGTACTCTTCAAAGAACACAGGAACAAATACTAGTTACTGACTTTTTTTCCTGTGGGATTTTTTTTTTTTTTCGGTCTTTTTTGAGACAGGGTCTCCTGTAGCCCCAGCTGTCCTGGAACTCACTATGTAGACCAGGCTGGCCTTGAACTCACAGAGATCCGCCTGCCTCTGCCTCCCAAGTGCTAAGATTAAAGGAGTGCACCACCACATCTGGCTTGGGGCATTATCTTTAAGAGTGAAAGACAGAAAATAACCTAAATGTCAAATCTAATGTTTCTTAAATGGAAAAAATAAGTTGTAAAACATAGTGCATGATTTCATTTATGTTAAATAAAAAGTAACATATGCAGAAGACCACCTAGGAGTATAAACATCAAACTGTTGCCAAAGTTACTTCTGGTGAGAAAAATGGGGTTGTTTGGAAGAAGGTAGAAGAGAATGGGCAGTAAAGAGATGTGCAATGAGTGGAAGTTATAAAAAAAATAAAATAAAAAATCCCTCAACGGTAAGGTCTTGCCCTGGCTGGCCTCACACTCACTGCAATCCTCCTCTCAAGTGCTTTTGATTACAGCTTTAATTTTTAAAAAATATTATTAGTTTTTATTATTTTTTTATGTGTATGCGTGTATTGCCTGCATGTAGGTAAGCACACCCATGTTGTGCAATGCCTGCAGAGGACAGAAGAGGCTGTCTGATCCCCTGGAACTGGAGTTAGGGACAGTTGTTAGCTGCCATGTGGGTGCTAGGATTCGAAACCCAGTCTTCTGCAAGAACAGCCAGTGTTCTTAATGGCTGAGCCATCTCTTCAGACCCATCACAGCTTTAATTTTTTTTTTTTTCAACATGTTACTGTCCTGCTTGTACTGCTTGACTCTTTTTTTTTTTTTTTTAAGTGCTGGGGATCAAGTCCAGGGCCTCCCTGGTGATAGGCAAATGCTCTACCACTGAGCTCCACCCTTACCTTTAACTTCTTACAGTCTAGGAAGTGGTAAAGAGCAACCTTGACCCCAAGTGACTGCATTCAAATGGGTTTCCACTGTTCATAAGATGTATGAATGTGGGTAAGCTGCCTAACATCTCCTTGCCTCCATTTTCTCATCTATAAAAATGAGATACCAAGTGTACTTACCTAACAGAGGCGGGAAGATCCAATAGGTTAATACATGTAACACAATTCCTGGACATAGTAAGTACTACGTGAGTAACAGCTATTATTAGTTTCTACATTAAAAATAAATCTAGCCAGGCATGATAGTACACATCTTTAATCCCATCACTAGGGAGGTGAAGGCAAGTGGATCTTTGTGAGTTCAAGGCCAGCCAGGACTACATAGTGAAACCCTGTCTCAAAAACAAAACAATCTCAGCCAGGCATGATGGTACACACCTGTAATCCTAGCACTTGGGAGGCTGACCCAGGCTAGCAAGGTCCAGGCCAACCTGTGCCACATAGTAAGACCTGGTCTTAAACAAATAGGCTAGGAGTAGTGGTACACACCTGTAATTCCCACTTGCAAGGCAAAAGCAGGAGAATCACCACAAGTTCAAGCCTAGCCTGGTCTACATAGTAAGCTTCAGTTCAGCTGGGTCTACCCAGTGAGATCTCCTCACTCACACACTAAGTAAATAAATAAGTAGCCAGGTATGGTGACACATGCCTGTAATCACCTGGGAGGTGGAGGCAGGAAGATCAGGGGTTCAAGGTCATCATTGGCTACACAATGACCCTGTCTCAGAAAACCATGAGTGACTAAATAGACAGACCTATTGATACAGGTTCATCATTTCTGTTACTCAGGGGACTGAGGCGAGAAGAATCAAATGTTCAAGGCTAACCTAAGTTACATGAAACCCTGTCTTTTTTTTAAAAAAGTAAAAAATAGGCTGGCAGGGCTAAGGAACTGGCTCAGACTTAAGCATGAGGACCCAAGTCTCCATCACCCACATAAAAAGCCAAGTGTGGTGGCACAGGTCTGTAATCCCGGCACTAGGAGGCAGACAGGCAAATCTCTGGAGCTTGCTTGCCAACTACCCTACTCAAATTAGTGAGCTTCAGGTTCAGCGAGGCTCTATTTCAAAACATTAAGTGAAGGGCTGACAAGATGGCTCAGTGGGTAAAGGCACTTCCTGCCCAGTCTGATTATCTGAGTTCAATTCCCAGGACCCACATGATAAAAAAACGAGGACTCCTGCAAGTTGTTGCCTGACTTCCACATGCACACCTGCATGCATAACACTTGTACAAACAAATTAAGTGTAAAAAATAAATTTAAAAATAAATTAGTGTAATAAAAAATAAGACGGAGAGTGACTAAAGAAGACAACACTGTCCTCTGACCTCCACCTATACAATGCACCCACACCTGCACACATAAACATGTATACGACACACACACACACACACACACACACACACTAAAAGTGTAAAGGGTACTTGGCTTGGCTCAATGAGTAAAGTGCTTGCTATGCAAGCATGAAGATCTGAGTTTAAATCCCTAGCACCCACATAAAAAAACGGGGCATAGCAGCACATATCTATAACCCCCAGGGCTGGGGGAGCAGGGGTAGACAGGCAGATCCCAGGGGCTTGCTAACAGGCCAGTCTAGCCAAATCAGTAAGCTCCAGGTTTAGTGAGAGATCTTAACTCAAAAAGTAAGAGGAAGAACGACGGAGGAAAACACTCATGGTCAATCTCTGATCTACACATAACACATACACACATGACTGGACAAGTACACACAAGTATACACACACACACACATATACCACATACACACACAAAAATTTTAAGGACAGGGAATATAGCTTAGTGGTGAAGTGCTTGCTTAGCATGTGTGAGACCCTAGGTTTGAGCTCCAATACTGCAAAAAGTAAATAAATAAATAAATAAAAATCCCAACACCACCTCTAAGAAAAATTCCTTTCATGCCCCACCTTTGCCTATGAAAAAGTTCAACCTCCTTCGCTGAGCATGCTGGACCCCGCAAGGTCTGGTGCTGCTGACTCCCAGGCTTCCCTCAGACCGTCCCTCCCTACTCTGCAGCAAGAATCAGTCCTCTTTACCAACATATCAAGCTATTTCTGTCTGGATTGCCTGTTTCCATTCTCTTTATCTTGCTAAAGTAAATCTTGGGTCTACACCTTCTGGAAGCCTGTCCTTCCTTTCCTGGAGTGGATACTCCCCTCTGTGCACCCTTCCCTGCATCTACCACTAGTGTAGCAAGTTCACATTGTTCTATAATTAGATCACCTTCTTCCCAAAACCAGAGAAGCCTGTGTCTTATTGCCAGTGCTGGATTGAGCACATACCAAGTCCTTAGTATTTAAGTGCTTATTTTATATTTAAGCAAGAGAACAAATCAAGAGAAATTTGAAGAGATCTATACACCGAGGCTCCTGGAGTTAAAATGGTCATAAGAATCAGAGAGTTGAGAGGAAAGAGGAGACTGCCAAGTTAGAAGGTCAGGAAAAATCAGAAAAATCAATGTGGTTAAGAGGTCAGTGGGCCAGAGAGATTAGAGATGTAGAAGTAGAGTCACTGATGCCAGAGCAGATGAGAGAGGATTAAGAATTCAGAGAATACCAATGGGGTCACGAAAGTCACACATAAGCTCAGAAAGGACATCAAGGTCTTACCACCGGGCCAAGGTGCCAGGCCGGGTTGGGGCATAGCTGTCGTGCCGGTGCAGCTGTAGAAAGTCTTTGCCTGGACCCTGTGCCAGCTCAGTGATCTCCTGGCCCCACCATCGTGCCTGCCGGTAGCTGCTACACTTGAGAATCAGGGACCTGGACAGGAACAAGACAGACCACTAATCTCTATCCTCCATAGCTATGGGTATGTCCAGAGACAACCTCCTTTTGGCTATCACCTTTTCCCATTTCCTCCATCAATCAGACATGGGGCATATATCTACCTTATTCATAGTTGGGTTCCCAGTAACCAGTACTGTAGTAGGCACTCAAGGCTTGAAAATGAAATTTAGTTTCCTTTTCTTCCTTTCCCTCTTCCTGACCTTTCTCCCATCTCCTTTTATTTATTTATTTATTTATTTATTTATTTATTTATTTATTTATTTTTTTGTCTCCCTGGAGCCCCAGCTGTCCTGGAACTCACTATGTAGACCAGGCTGGCCTTGAACTCACAGAGCTCCACCTGCCTCTGCCTCCCAACTGCTGGGACGACAGGTGTGTGCCACCACGCCCGGCTTAAATTTTATTATTTTTATTTTTTATTTTATATGTATGCGTGTATTGCCTGCATGTAGGTAAGTGCACCCATGTCATGCAATACCCGCGGAGGTCAGAAGAGGCTGTCGGATCCCCTGGAACTGGAGTTACAGACAGTTGTTAGCTGCCATGTGGGTGCTGGGATTCAAACCCAGGTCTTCTGCAAAAACAACCAGTGTTCTTAACTGCTGAGCCATCTCTCCAGCGCCCTCATCTCCTTTTTAAGACAGGGTTTCACTATATAGCCTAAGCTGGCCTCCAATTTACAATCCCAGCCTCAGCCTTCCAAGTGCTGGGATTAGGTGTGCACTACCATACCTGGTTCCCTTCCCTGTCTTTATTGGGAGCCTTTCTCCAGCCTTATACTAGGCCCTGTTCTCTAGCCCTTAGTCTAAGAGTATCCTAAGTATATGGTTAGAATAGTTTCCTGATTCAAAACTGTGGCTGGACCAGGGGATGGGGAATTGAAAAGCTTTCCTTTCCCCCAGGGTCTCTTCTGTTCAACTCCCTTCAGGGCCACAGACTGCCCTCATGGCAGGGAGTATTCACCGGTGGGAGGTGTCAATCCGCACTCCATACCGCGCTTCTGTGCTCCTTTTCCCAACCTGCACCTCAAAGCCAGGGTCAAAAAGCTGAACAAATGAGATGGTGCCGGTCTCCAGGCGCATGTAGAGCAGGAAGGAGTCCTTCACCACCAGCCACCTGGAGTAGAAGGGCTCCATGTGTTCCCCAGGCTCTCCGAAGCTGCCCGCTGCTCCCTGCTTAGCTCCAGCCCTCACCTCTTGGACCAGCGATAACAAACTTGGTCTCGACCACAGCAGGTGAGGCCAGGAACATGGTGCCCACCTGAGCGCTTCCGGATGACCCCTTCCCTGTAAAGGACAATCAGAAGATGTGGATGGGGGTCTCTAGATACCTGCATTACTTGCCTTGTTCTCAAGCAGGGAGATGGGGAGTGATGTCTTCAGAAAGCTGGGTAAGGGGTGCCCACACTCACAGTCCTTTGGAACCGAGGTCTGGGATAAAGGAAAGTTGACTGACTTCCAGGAACTCTGTCTGCAGAGGAAAAACAAGCTCAGGAGGAGACTTAGCTTTTAGCCCTTAAACCACTACTAACTCTGCCCTTTTGTCCCCTGGGGGTCTCATGATGCTGATCTACCTCAAAATACTGAGACATCCTGACCCTGGATCTTACCATGGCATGGTAGTTACGGTAGAAAGACATAGTCAGGAGGCGGTTGAGGTAATTCTCCAGGTATTTCTAAAGAGGGGTAGAAAAGAGACAGATGAGGCCAGAACCATTTGCATACTCCACACCTTGCCAAGGACCTGATGTTTGGTCATACCTGTTTGCTGGCTGCATGTCTGGTGGAGCCCTCAGGACCTCCTCGGGGTAGGGAGGGAATTTCTTCATTGGCTGCCTCTCTGGCAGGTGAATAGGCTACAGCAAAGCTACAGAAGAGATGGGACAAATTTCAGGGCAGAGTGGGGCAGGCTAGATGCCTGAAACACTGGACACAGAGCTTTGGAGAAGGGAGGAAGCCTTGAGGCTGGCAGAAGAAAGGCTCCCTACACTGGGAATGGAGGAGGAAGGTTGCTAAGGGCTTTTGGGGCATCCAGCCAGAGATATTGGCACAGAACTATGGAAAGAGAGAACCAAGTAGGTTAAGTTTCCTGGGGAACCAGAGCCCAGGAGGCCCAGCACAGAGCTGGGTAAAGAAAAGTGATTGGGGAAGGAAAGGTTGTAGCCTTGGGGTGCAAAAGGCAGACAGGAGTGATAGCTACCATTGGATGAGGGGATGAGGGGACACTTGCCCTTCACAGGAAGCAGTCTGGTCCCACTCACCGAGCCAGAGGGAGCAGACTCATCAAGACTTTATGTCTCTGGAGGTCCCGATGGAGCTCTTGGAAGTGACGGAATTTCTTTTTGGTTGTCCATGTAAAGTCACCATGACTCAAGCGGACAGAATATAGAGTACAGGTTCCCACCTGGGGGCATGAAAACCTGGAGTCATGTCTTCTGGCCCATCCCAGCCCTCCACTCTGGCCAGACTTCCCTCTCCCACTCTCCCTGGTACCAGCTCAGTCACCTTGGAACCACTGGTGTATCTTTCAGTGCCCACCACCTGGGCTATGACAGGGACCCCAGGGGCGAACACCAAGGGGTGCACTTTGAGAGGCTGAAGGTTGTAGATGGCCAGAAAGGGATGCATTCGGTCAGCTGGGAGGAAAGAAAAACCAAAGGTATAGACCTCAGGAGGCCCCAGACCCCTGTCCTCCCCTCTCTTGGGGGGGGGTCATACTCCCTATCTACCTGGGTCCTCTCCTTCTCTCAGAGTGTCAACCTCATCAGGCTCCATGTGCAACTGGCTGGAGTTCAGGTAGTCCCCATAGGGGAAAGGGTTCTCCTGGGTTGCCGTCATCCTAGGAATGAGGAAGACTCAAGGGAGGGACTGACCCTACAGAAACACCCGCTCCCCATTCTAACGCCCCGGTCTGGTCCCCTGTCTCCCACGGTCTCATCTTCCTCACTCATTTTCATTCTGATTCCCAACCTCCCTGACTGCAGGCCGACGCTCCTCTAAACTTCCTGCAACCTCCATCCCCTCCCTCAGTCCCGCCTCCCATTCCGCATTCAGGGAGGAAACACCTAACCAGGCTTAGGATGGCCTCGAACTGGGTAAGGCAGAATCCGACGGAAGATGCCCCGCGTGGTAGAGAGACCGCGGGGGACAGCGGAGCTCAAAGCCAGGCCGGGCTGGCTGGAAGCAGGGGTCCTGGTGGGAATGAGGAAGTTATGCGCCCGGTGCCGGGGACAAAAACCCTGAAATCTGGGCGTGCGGCTGAATCACAAGGCCCAGCAGCTCCAGCCTGACCGCGTCCCCGCCCAATTTCCGGAGCTCCGCGGCGCCAGCTCCCGAGTCCCCTTACTCTGGCTGCGGGCGCGCGGGTTCGCGAGAACCCGGAGCAGAACTCAGCGGGAGCTAGAGCCCACACCCCAGCGGGGCGGGGCCGGGGCACGGGAGCCTGCCCTCTGGGACGGGACGGACCCCCGCCTCCCTTCTGCGGGAGGCGCGTCAGTCCAGTCCCGCCCCGCTGCCGGCCCGCCCTGCGACCCGCGGGGCCGCCCACTCCCACCCGGGGGCAGCCCATTTCCAGAGGAGCCGCCCACCCCCGCGGGCCCGCCCACTCCCCCGGTCCCGCCCATTCTCCAGGCCCTCCCACTCACCGCCCCCCCATCCCAGGGGTAGCCCTTGGCCCCGCGGGCGCAGTACCAGGTGAGTGCGGCTGGCAGCTAGGGGTCGGGGGCTGTTCCCAGTGGGGTTGTCGGAGCCTGTCCTGCACCACTCTGCGTGAGATCGGCGCCGCGCACATTCTTCCACTATGCGCGGTCCTTGGCTTCACCCGCAGTGCCTGGGATTAGCCTGGATTCGCCTCCTGGGCGAGGACCTGCTAGTACCCCCTTGCTGGGCCTCCTCCGGAAAGCGTTGGTAAAAGCGAGGGAATGAGGGAATGAGAAGAAAAGGCCCAATGATGAGACCGCAAGCTCATTGCTGTATGAGAAATTGCATTCTTTTCTTCATTCACAAACATTTATTGTGCACTTGCTGTTTGCCAGACGCTGAGGGTGCAATAGTAAAACAGTCTATAAATCTGCTCTCCTGTAAACTCCAGTCTAGTGAAAACAGGTCCTAAACTCTCTCTTCCTCTCTTCAGTCTGTCTGCTCCCCAACCCCCGCGGCCCCTAAATTTCCTCCTGACAAACAGTTGAGGAGTTTCTAGTTTCTGTCTTTTGGGTATAACGCTCCGATAAACATTGCTGCACCAATCTTTTTTTGTGAACTTGTTTTAATTTCTCTTCAGTAAATAGCATCAAACTGCTAGGTCATGTGTCTGTTTAACTTAAAAGGAACTGTCAGGAGCTGGGCTTGGTGATGCAGGTTTATAGTCCCAGCACTAGGAAGAATGTGGCAAGAGGATTGTGAGTTGAGGCCAGCCTAGGCTACATAGCAAAACCCTGCCTAAAAAACAAAAATAAAACTGTCCTCCAAAATAGCTGTTTCATTTTACTTTTACTTTTTATGTAGACCAGGCTGGCCTTGAACTCACGAGATCCGCCTGCCTCTGCCTCCCCAGTGCTGGGATTAAAGGGTGGCCTGGCTCATTTTACATTTTTTAAAGAGGAGGCCAGAAGAGGGATCAGATCCCTAGAACTAGAGTTACAAGTGGTTCTGTACCACTTGACTATGTATGGTCCTGAGCAGTACTTACCACTGAGTTATTGATCCAGTCCCTCATTTTATACATATAAAATCAATGTATTGTAGACATTTTACACTGTAAATTTTGGTGTTAGCCATTCTAATAGATGTATTAGGTATATCCTTGCAATTTTATTTACACATTACTGCGTATTAATGTTGACCATATTTCATGTCCTTTCTGGATATTTATTAATATAATCATTTTTTTTTTCTTTTTGAGACAGGGTCTTCCTATAGCCCCAGATGGCCTGGAACTCACTATGTAGACTAGGCTAGCCTCAGACTCACAAAGATCTGCCTGCCTCTGCCTCCCAAGTGCTGGAATTAAAAGAGTGTGCCACCGTACCCAGCTTATTAATATAATCTTTTATAAAGTATCTGCTCAAGTCTTTTGCTAATAAAAAAAATCATATTGTTAGGGCTGGAGATATGGCTCAGATGGCTGCTTTTGTAATAACCTAGGTTTGGTTCCCTCTGCCCACACAGTGGCTTAACCCATCCTTATCACCAGTTTCAGGGGAACCAGCACACTCCTCTGGCCTCCTTGGGTACCAGGCAGGCACATGGTGCATTTACATACATGCAGGCAAGGCACTCATACACATAAAATAAAAATTAAGTCTTTGTTTTTTATTTTATGTGTATGAGTGTTTGCCTGCTTGTAAGTGCATCCATGCCAGAAAAGGGCTTACGATTCCCTGGAACTGAAGTTAAGGACACTTGTTAGCCTCCATGTGGGTGCTGAGAACCAAACATGGGTCATTTGCAAGAAAGGCCAGTGCTCTTAACTTCTGAACCATCTCTTGAACTCACAGAGATCTGCCTGCCTCTGCCTCCCAAGTGTTGAGACTGAAAGCATGCACCACCACACCCAGCCATACTATCTTTTTTTTTTTTTTTTGGTCTTTTTGAGAGAGGGTCTCCCTGTAGCCCCAGCTGTCCTGGAACTCATTTTGTAGCCCAGGCTGCCCTTGACCTCACAGAGATCTGCCTGCCTCTGCCCCCCAAGTGTTGAGACTGAAAGCATGCCCCCCCCCCCCCCGCCAAACTATCTTTTTTTTTTTTTTTTGAGACAGGGTTTCCCTGTAGCCCCAGCTGTCCTGGAACTTACTATATAGACCAAGCTGGACTTGAACTCATAGAGATCCGCCTGCTACCACACCCGGCCATACTATCTTTTAATTGTAAGAGTTCTCTATATATTTGGATACCAGTCTCTTATCATATGCAAATGTAGCTGGGTTTTTGTTTTTGGCTTTTGTTTTCTTTTTTCTTCAATGCTGGAGATTGAATTTAGAATCTCAAGACTTGAAGCTTGTTAGGCAAGCTTTCTACATCCTCGGCCCCTTTTCAATTGTGATTGGGTTTCTGTTTTGTTTTATTTTGGTTATTTTTTGCATGCTGGGTGATTGGGCCAGAGTCTCATACATGCTAGGCAAATACTCTATTACTGAACTACATCTCTAGCTTTTGATATATTCTCACAGTAGACTATTACTCAGTAAAATAATAAAAATAATAACAAATAAAAAGTATAAAGTGTCACAGCTATTTTAGAAACCATTCAAAATGTTAAATGTCGGCTGGGGATATAGCTCAGTTGGTAGAGTTGGTCTGGCATGCACAGACCCTGGGTTTGATCCTCAGCAGCACATTAACCAGGTGTGGTAGCACACGAGTAATCCCAGCACTTGGGAGGTAGAGGCAGGCTCTCTGTGAGTTCAAGGCCAGCCTGGTCTACACAGTGAGCTCCAGGCCAGCTGGGGCTACAGGGAGACCCTGTCTCAAAAAAGACCAAAAAAAAAAAAAAAAAAAAAAGTTAAGGGCTGGAAACATGGCTCAGTATTTAGGAGCACTGGCTGCTCTTGCAGAGGACCAAAGTTCCTACTATAACGACCATCTATAACCCCAGTTCCAGAGAATCTGAGACCTTCTGATCTCTGTAGACATTGCATGCTATGGTGCATTTACATAAATGCAGGCAAAATACTTATACACATAAAAAATCATAAAAAATTAAAAACAGCTAGGTGTGGTGGTGTATGCCTTTGAACCCAGCACTCCAGAGGCAGAGGCGGGTAGATCTCTGTGAGATCAAGGCCAGCCTAGCCTAGTCTATATAGAGAATTCCAGGCAGCCTGGGCCATAGGGAAACCCTTGTCTCAAAAAAAAACAACAAAAAGTTTTAAAAAATATTTGATCTATTATTTTTATTTTATGTGTATGAGTGTATTGTCTATGTGTATTAAGTGTGCCCATGTCATGCAGTGCCCGTGAAGGTCAGAAGAGGGTGTCTTATTCCCTGAACTGGAGTTAGGATCCCTGTTAGCTACCACATGGGTACTGGGAACGGAGCCTGGGTCCTCTACAAGAGCAGCCCGTGCTCTTAACCACTGAGCCATCTCTCTAGCACCTGCCCCCCATTTTTTTTTTCAGAAAGGTTAAATGTAGAGTTACCATATGACCAAGCAATTGGATTCCTCAGTAGATACCCAAGAAAAATACAAACAGGATCGGCAAGATGGCTCAGCAAGTAAAGGCCCCTGCTGCCAAACCTGACAGCTTGAGTGTGATTCTTGAAATCCACCTGGTGAAAGGAGAGAAATGACTTCTACCGGTTGTATTCTGACCTTTGCACTGTGGCATGCAAGTGCACACATATAATAAATACAATAAAAATTAGAAAAAGCATATATTCAAATTAAAAATAAGTGGGCAAGTGTTCATAGCAATATTGTTCCTAATAGCCAAAAGTGGGTACAAGACAAATGCTCATCAGTGGATGAAGATATATCTCTACAATGTAGTATTCTGCAGCCATAGAATGAAACTATGCATTGATACAGCTACTCCCAACTGGGATGAATCTTAAAACATTCTGTGTGAAAGAAACCAGACAAAAAGCCATATATTGCAAGATCCACATATATGTGCATTAGCTACTTTGCTCTTTGCTGTGATCAAATGCCAGACAGAAACAAATTTAAAGGAGGAAAGGTGTTTTTGTTCTCTCTCTCCCCCCCCCCCCCAGTTTAAGAGAATACAGTCCATCCCAGAAGGGAGGGCTTGACAGGCTGCTTGCTCGAATCTGAGTAAATCAGGTAACAGAAACATGAATGCTGGTGCTCAGCTGGCTTCTGCTGTTTTGCCATTTTATTCAGTCCAGGCAGGACGATAGCCATGAGATAGTGCCATCTGTATCCCTTCTCAGTTAAACCTCTCTGGATAACAGGAGTGGTGGTTCACACTTGTAATCCTGGCACTAGGGAGAAGAGGCTGAGGGAGAAAGATGATTGTGAGTTTGAGGCCAGCCTGGGCTACCAAGTGAGATCCTATTTCAAAAAACTAAACCCAAAGGGCTGGAGAGATGGCTCAGTAGTTAAGAGCTAATGCTGCTCTTCCAGAGGACGAGTTTAATTCCCAGCACCCACATCAGGCAGCTTGGCTCACAGTACCTGTAACTCCAGCACTGCACTCACATGTACAAACCACAAACAGACACACACACATATGCACATAATTTAATAATAAAGCAAACTCCTCTCTGGAAACATCCCCACAGACACAGCCAAAGGTGTGTTCTTTAATCCAATCAAGTTGACAATCAAATTAACCACCACAATATGAAATACTCTGATTTTTGAAAGTCCAGAGAAACAGGAATTTGATTAGTGGCTGGCAAGAGCTAGGGAGAGGAGGAATGGGGAATGACATAACAAGTACAAGGGTTTCTTGAGGGTAATGGAAAATCTAAAATTAGTTGTGATGGTTATATAACTGTGATAGTAAAAACCATGGAATTGTATGTCTTAAAAGGGTGAACTTTATGCATAGTCTTATTTACATTGCAATAAACTGTAAGCTACATGAATGGTTGACAGATGAATCTCAAAACCATTAAGCTGAAAGAAACTACACAAAAGAATAATACTGTAGGATTCCATTCATATGAAGTTCTAAAACAGACAAAAACAATTGATAGTAATAAAATCAGATCAGTAGTTGCCTGAGGCGGAGCATGGGCAAGAGACTGCCTATTAATGAACTCTTCCTAAGGGAAATTCTAAAGTGATAGAATGTTTCAGGGCTGGGGTGATGGCTTGGTGGATAAAGTGCTTGTTGCATTAACATGAGGTTCAGATCCTCAGTATCTACATATACCATGCTTGGGGATTGAGGCGATGGTTCAGTGGGTATGCATACCACCCCACACACCACACAAAGCCGGGCATGGTGATGTGCATCATAACCCCGGCACTCAGAGAGATAGAGATAGGTGGACTTTTGGAGCTTGCCCATTAACCAAGCTAGCCAAATCTGTGAATTCCAGGTTCAATAAAGAGACCCTGTCTCAAAAAATAAGGTGGAAGGGGCCAGTGAAATGATCAGCAGGTAAAGGTACCTGCTACCAAGCCTGATTACCTGAGTCCCATCCCCAGGGCCCCCCATGGTGAGAGAAGAAAACTAACTCCAGCAAGTTGTCCTCTGACCTCCACACATGCTGTGGCATAGAGGCAGCCCCCCAACACACACAAAATAAGTAAATAAAAATGTAATAAAAAGGAATTAGAGAACAATAGTGAAAGGTACCCAATGCTGACTTCTGCACACGTGCATACCCACATGAACATGTACATACACATACATCACACATAAATTCATAGACGTATGCATGCATGCACAAAAGAAATGTCTGGTACTCCCATTGGGGTGATGATTTCACGAGTGAGTCCTTGGCAGAACTCATGGAACTGTATAGGAAGATGTGGGTATTCATTATATGTAAACTCAACTTCAAGAAGTATGTTTTTGAGACAAAGTCTCACTGTGTAGCCCAGGCAGGCTGACCTTGAAGTAGCAATCTTTCTGTTTTAGTCTCCCAAGTAATGTTGGATTTCAGGAGTGTTCTGTTACAGCCAGCTCAATTAAAAAAAAAAAGCAAGCAAGCAAGCAAGCAAGCAAGCAAGCAGGTGTAGCTATCACCTATAATCCCAGCACTTGAGCGGTAGAGGCAGTAGGATAAGGAGCTCAAGGCAAGACTTGACTACATTGAGTTACATGCAACCCTGTCTCAAAATATATCGCCCCCCCCCCAAAAAAAGCGGGTTGGTGCTCAGTGATAAAGAGCTTACTAGATATGCATCAGATTCTGGGTTTAATCTCTAGCACTGGGAAAACAAAACAGAAAAATAAACCAACAATGTTGCCCACTCGATTTCCAAGTACAGCACAACCAACTGTGCTTCCTAATAGTCTCCCTGTTGTGGTACCCTTAGGGAATGATAGGACAGTATTTGAACACCTCTACTATAGGGCTTAGGACCTAAAGTGCAAACCTGGGTTCTGGCCACCCTAGATCTGACTGAGGACATCAGTGCCCAGTTGCATACTTGGGGAGCTCAGAGTGGTGGTTAAGGGAGTGGATTCTGGAGTCAGATTGACTTGGGGCGGGGTTGAAGAGGTACCGGTCCTGCTCTGGATAAATGCCCATTTGACCTTGGGCAAGTTACCTTATCTCTTAGTGACTCCCTTTCCTCATCTGTAAAATCAGGATAGCAACAACATACTCAAAAGATCATTAGTATTGCCAGGTGCAGTAGCACATGCCTTTAATCCCAGAGGCAAGTGGATCTCTGCAAGATCGCAAGATCGAGGCTAGCCTGGACTACATAGCAAGTACCAGTGCAGCTACAGGGAGACCCAGTCTCAAAAAAAAAAGGGGGGGGGAGACCAAAGGTAGAACACTTGCCTAGATTTGGCATGACTGAGGTGGAACAACATTATAGCATCTACCCAACACAGCATAACTAATTAGTTACAACCATCCCCATGAAAAGGGACAGCAGCACTTGGGGACAAGTGCAGTGGCACTCACCTGTAGTTCCAGCAGTTAGGAGCATCACTTGAACAAGAATCTGGAGACCAGGTGGGGCAATATTTTGAGATTCATATAGCAAAATGATAACAACAGCAAAGCACAAACAAACGACTGGGACAAGCTACCAGACAGCCAGGCCTGGTGGTATATGCCTGTAAAGCTAGTTCTGGGAGGCTGAGGCAGGAGAATTACCAAGCCTGTGAGGCCAGCCTGGGTGAGTTCCTGTCTCCAAAACTAAAACCAACCAACCAAACGAGTTACCAGACCATTTAATGAGAATATATGCTTTTCTCTGGATAAAAATTTTCATGCTAAAAGAGTAGTCTTTAATTTTTACATCTTAGACACTTCAAATTCTCATCCTAAAATAAAATAATAAAAAATCAAAAGAAGAAAATGATGACAGGGTAGCTCAGTGGGCCCTGGGTCTGACCCCCCAATACCAAAAAAAAAAAAAATCCAAACACCCCCCAAAACCAAAAAAAAAAAAAAATCCAAACAAAGCATATCCATGCCCAGCAATGTCTAGCCTAACCCAAAGTTGTAGGGCATTGTTCTACTGAATTTTCACAGTGTTACCAGCACCCCCTTCTGCCTCTGCCATGATACCCTTCCCAATATCCTCCTGCTTTTCCATTGGGGATAAGAGAGCCCCCAAATTAAGGGGGCATAAAATGTAAGTAATTGAAAGGGGATATTCCCTCACCCCTTCTCTCCACCCCTTTTCTCCCCCCTCTATCCCCTGGCGCCTATAATCACCAGGCGGTCTGAGGCTAAGTGGTAGTTTTACTCACGGTGGAGGGGCTTGGAAACCACACCCCTCTCCCTGGGGCCCTCCTGGCCCTTCCCAACATCCCAGACTCCTCCACTGTTGAGATGGGTCTGAAGGGGGCTTGGTGTTTCTCATGGTGTGGGTGCCGGAGACAGCGGGGGACTGAAAGAGGATCAGGTATGGGGGTGACTGGGGGGAAAGTGGCTGTCAGGCAGGCATGGGGGAGAAAGATAAACCTTCAGACCAGTGAAGGAAAAACATCCTGTCTCCTTGGTGGGATGTCTCATGTCTCCTCAGGACTGACTGAAGAGGGCTGAGACTAGGGAAGAATGGAAAATGGGGCCCCATGGTAAAAATGTAGGAATTCCAAGATGGTGACAGCAGAGCACTGCCTCAAGCTTAAGGGTGCTTTTGAGGGTGCAAGGGATTTGGGGAGCCCTTTGTGACTTCTCAGGCCATCTCCCAGAGAAGCCAGCTCTGCTTTAGACATTCCCTCTCCATAGCCCGGCTGCTGTCACCGCCACTCCTCAGTCTTCCTAGCTTCTTTCCCCTTCAACTGTGGTGAGAGGTACCGGGAGTTGAACCCTGACCACCAACCCCTCTTCTTCCTCCAATTCCCCTTTTAGGCCTGGGTCCTGCTTCCCCTCCAGATCCTAGCCCAGTTGTAGCCCCCACTGTGGCCGAAGGAGGGCTGCCCTCCCCAGGGGCTGGTGCCTACTTAAGCCGGAAAGCGCGACTCTCCTTCCGCCACCAGCTGCATGACGTGGCATCGGCCAATGACTCGACCATTTGAAGGGGACAACCAGGAGCTGAACCTTCAAGAAGACTCAGCAACCTTCTGTCACCACGTTTCCCAATGGTCCTATCATGACTTTGAAAATTAAATTTGTGCAGGGTTACCAAGTGTTGTGTATGAGTGTTGGGTGGGGGTAATTGGGGACTAATACACTGGGGTACAGGGCTGAGGTGAGAAGTGTGTCACCAAATGGAAATGGGAGTCGGGCACAGAATGGTGAATATGAGGCAGACCCCAAGTATGACTAGCAGGAAACTCTTGCTGAAATCAAGCTTCAGAGTTGAGTTTGGTGAGAGCTGGGGGCTGGACAGGACAGCAGGTGGAATTGAACAAGGAGTTTTTTCAATAAATATCTAGTGTTGGGCTGAAGGTAAATCAGTGAGTAAAAATGCTTGCTGCACAAGTCTAATGGCTTGAGTTTGATCACTGGAACACTCAAAAGGCTGAGGTCCAAAACACAGCCGAAATCCCAGCACTTGTACCTACTTAAACAAGAAAGCCCAACTCTTCCTTCCACCACCAGTTGCATGATGTGGCACCAGCCACGGGGGTAATTAGAGGCGGAGACAAGAGAAATCAGTAGGAAGCTTGCAGGCTAGCTAGCCTGGAGTAGGCAGCAGACGGAAATGAGCAGACAGAAACGAGCCAGACCCTACCTTAATGAGGTGTAAGGAGAAAACGCCAGAAAGCTGACCTCTGACCTCCACATGTACGATGTGGCACGAACATGTGTATGCACATGCACAATAAATAACATTTTTTAAAAAGTGTAAGTGGAAGAGGATGTGGAAAAAATGCAAGAGAGAGAATGGGAAGAGGGCTATAAAATGCTGTTTTCTAGATGATGTCCTCAAGCTCAAGAATTCATAGCAGCTGCTCATGATTGAGCCAGTCAACATTCCAGCACGGATTGGGGAGGAGCTCATGAGGCCCCAACCTCAGCTGACAAGCTACTGGCAATTGATGGTTGTTGGGAAAAGGAGAGTCAATTTTCTTTGATCCCTGGTACCTTGTGTGGTCCCTGGTACCTTGCCCAAGCTCCAGTGGATGGCCCCACACCTGTATGATTTGGGCAGCAGTAATTTGACTCAGAGCTTTATACACACACATGTACATGCACACACAAAGTAATTTATGTGACTCAGCATTTTATACACATACACATACAGATGAAGATTGGAGGGGGACATGCTGGGGGGAGGGGGAGAGCTTCGGTGAGGAGAGAGAAGTGCGTGGGATGGATATGATCAAGATACATCATATAGATGTATAAAATTTCCAAAGAATAAATTTTTTAAAAAATTTGTTTTGAGACAGGATCTCACCATGTAGCTCTAGCTGGCCTGAAACTTGCTATGTAAACCAGGCTGGCCTCTATCTCACAGAGATCTGCCTGTCTCTGCCTCCTGAGTGCTGGCATTGAAGGCATACGCCACTACATGCAGCTGCTTTAAAATGTAGTATCTGGTCCCTGCTAGGCCCTGAGGATTCACTAATAAATCAGGAAGAATTCTTTCCTTTTACTGAGTAGGTAGTAGATAAATGAAAAATGAGCAGACTTTAAGAGTGATGAAGAAAATGAAATGGTAATATGAGACTAGGACAGGGGCAGGAGTGGTTCTTCAATTTCAAGGGGACTTCCTGATGAGTAGCTTTGGAACAGCTGGGGAATGATGTGGCAACGTTGTCATTGATTGGAACAGATGTGAGGCTCTGGCGTAGCATGCTGATGAGGGAGGTTGTGCATGTGTGGAGGGATGGGATCTATAGAAAGTCTCTGTAACACTAAATTCTGCAGTGAATCTCAAATTACTCTAAAAAATAAAAGTTTAACCAGGCACGATGGTTCCCGTCTTTAATTCCAGAACTTGGGAGACTAAGGTAGGAAGGTTGCCCCAAGTTTCAGGCAACCCTAGGCTACATAGTAAGTTCCAGGTTAGTCTGGTTTACAGAAGGAATTGGGCATAATTCTACAGGCCCCTAATTCCTCACTCTGTGAGGAAAGATCATGAGTTCAAGGAAAACCTGGGCTATATAAAGAACCTTTGTCTAAATTCATAGGGCACAAGATGTAGCTCAGTAGTAGATCACTTTATCATGTGCAGAGCCTTGGGCTTGATACCTAGCACTGCAAAACAAAACCAGAAAGAACCATCGAGCAAATATTTAAGTACAAAATCCCACAGGTTAGAAAACAGAAAAACAAAACAAACCCAGTGATGAGTCAAGGGTAGGCAGATGTTAGGTCTTCCAGTTCATAGTAAGTAGCCAAAGTATTCTAGGTGAACTGATAAAAAGATACTGAGGAATGTTTAACAGAGAAGCAACATGGTCTCACATCCACAAAGATCTCTTTGGTTGCAATATGGGAAAGGACTGCAGAAGGGCAGTGTGGAGATGGTGAGGAATATACTTTCACAGTTTTTAGAACTGAACCGTGAAGTTGAGTGCAAGAGACAGAGGAATCAAAGAGGATGATGCTTAGGGAGAATGGGTTTTGGCATGAAAATAGAAAATATTTTAAGTTTGGGGCTGGGAAATGGCACAGAGATTACGAGTACTGGTTGCTCTTGCCAAGGGCCCAGGTTTGGGTCCCAGCACCCACATGGTGGCTAACAATGATCTGTAACTCCACTTCCAGGGATCTGATTCTGTCTTCTAGTCTCCTTGGGCACCAGGTATGCATGTGATGCACTTACATAACACTCAAGCACACACACACACATATATATATATATATTTTTTTTTTATTATTTTATGAGTGTATTGCCTGTATGTATGTAAGTGCATTAGTGTCACGAAATGCCCACAGAGGTCAGAACTGGGTCTCAGATCCCCTGGAACTTGAGTTAAAAAGTTGTTAGCAGCTGGGTGTGGTGGCGCATGCCTTTAATCCCAGCACTTGGGAGGCAGAGGCAGGCAGATCTCTGTGAGTTCAAGGCCAGCCTGGTCTACATAGTGAGTTCCAGGGCAGCTGGGGCTATAGGGAGACCCTGTCTCAAAAAGACAACAACAACAAAAAGTTGTTAGCTACCATGTGGGTGCTGGAAATTGAACCCAGGTACTCTGTAAGAGCAGCCAGTGCTCTTAATGCTGAGCCATCTCTCCAGCCCATATAAAATCTTTTTAAGTAGTTTTAAAACTGAGGTGCACATTTGGGGTAAGAGATCTTTCTCTGCGTATCACTTAATTTAGGACCTTACCACATATGATTATTCACATTGTCAACTTGGAGTTTAGAATCACCATGGAAACAAACTTCTGGGGATGTCTGAGGGAGTTCTAGATTAGGCTAATTGAGGTAGATGACCCACCCAAAATGCAGGAGGCACCATTCCATGGGCTAAGGTCCCAGAATGAATAAAGAGAAGCAAGCTGAGCATAAGCAGTCACTGCTTTCTGACTGTGGGCACAATGTAACCAGCTGCCTCACGCTTCTGCCACCATACTGTCTCCACCATGATGGGCTCACACTATGAGCCAAAATAAACATTTTCTTCCTAAAATTGCAATGAAATAAGTAACTAATGTACTATTCCCTTAGGAATCATCTTTCCCACCCTCTGAAATACTCCAAAGTCTGTACATGTGGCTTCTATGGTTCCCTGATCTGTAGGAGAAAAGAAAACTGGAAAAGACTGAGCTATGTCAGTCACTGAGCACCACTGAGCTCCTTGATCCTTGGTTTGAGTAGAGACAGGTCTGAAAGAGTCAGAGTCCATTCTCAATCTCATGGGAGTGGTAGCTTACAGAACTGGACAAAAGCACTCTGCCACCCAACATCCATCTTAAATTCCACTTGAAGACAAAGCCCATCTCTTTCCCTAAAGCCAAGGAAGACACATGGCTATGATGAAGTGACTGGGGAAAGAAGGGATCATGAAGTTGGCCTGGGGGGAAGAGTTTTAGCCTTAGGGTCAGTAGTTACCATAACTAGCAGCAGATAGGCAGGGAAAGCAACCTGAATACCACTTTGGACTTGGGATATTGCTGGCAGTCCCTACATGAACTACACTCTGGTGGTTCAGATATCTAGATTTGTGGAGCAACAGTGATCTAGAGAAAAGGGCTTAAAAAACCACTCATGGCTAGGCATGGTGGCATATACCTGTGATCCCAGCACTCAAGAGGCAAAGGCAGGAGGATCAGCACAAGTTCAATGATAGCCTGAGCTACAAGAGACCCAGTCTCAAAATAAGAAAAATAAATTCAACCAACCAACCAACCAACCAACCAACCAACCAACCAACCAAGAAAAATACTTCCCAAACAACCACCACCACCACAACCATGTATACAAAGGTTTAGTGATGAATGGAGTATTTATAATCCCCCCTTCATCACCTCTCCAATTCATTCTGAGTTCAGGGCACTACCTTGCTCAAGAGTGGACCAGACAAGTTCAAAATTGAGGTCAAGAAAAGAACCCCAAGCAGAAGCATTCTCTTGACAAACTGTTTATTAAATGTTGTATTCTCATGATGTCTCTCATTGTGTCCTAGAATACAGGATTCAGGGAAGTGGTATAGTGGCAATGCTGAATTTGGGTATCTGATCTCCCAAAAGTACCTGCCTCTCTACCCCCGATTCTTGAATGGCTGCCAAGCGGATCACTCCTCCACTGGAGCCATCCCGTTCCATAGCCAAAGCGAGAGCTGTAGATAAAGGAGAAATTGGGTTTGGAGTTAGGTGCTGAGATACTTAAGGAATATGGTGCTTGGGTAGTGAAAGCTGAAGCTCACAGGCTCAGAAGCCCAAGTTCTCACCATTGGCAGTAAACTGCAGACACTCTTCCTTGGTCATGCCTTCTCGGTAGGTAGCATCAACATAACCATAGATATATGAGCTCCCGGAGCCTCCAATGGCAAAGGACTGCCTTACCATCATGCCTCCCATGGGAACTGAGTACACCTGCCAGATGGAAGGATGAGAAAGTCCCCAGCTGCCCTTTTCCCCAGATACATGCACTCACCTGTCCATTTTGATTTTGGTCTAGGGCATTTATGGTGGGGTAGAGACAGAAATTTTTAAATGGCTAGGGTCTGGACTAGAGCTGGCAGTTTGTAAATTGCCTGCTGGGCAACTATTGAGGACTTCAGTTTGAATCCCTAGTACCTATGTAAAAGCTGGGCATGTCTATAACCCCTGCACTGGGAGGAGGGAGGCAGAGAAAGGATGATCCCTGGTGGTCATTAGCCAGCCAGCCTAGCCAAATGGTGAGCCCCATGTACAGTGAGAGACTTTGTCTTAAGAAATAAGGTCAAGAGGACAGAGCAGCCATCTCAGGTAGACCTCTGGCCTCCACACATGCAGACACCCACAGGAACATGTACATAAAGGACAGGAGGTTCAAAGGTGTGGCTGTAGTGCTCTGGTAGGGGAGGGCCTGACCTGCCCTCCTTCTTGAGGGTCCCAGCCTGCAATGATGATTCCTGCCATCAGGTCTTCTCGGTATCGGTAACACATCTCCTTAAAGAGGCTGGCAGCTGTGTGCACCAGCGGAGGTTCATTCAGTTCAATACTAGAGCGTGGGGTTGGAAGGCCACAAAGGAAACAGTATCAGGACCTGGAATCAGGCTTTGAGTACCCCATGTCCCAGCTCCCTTTGGATACTTGCTCCTCCCCTGCCCACAAGCACCTGTGAAAACCAAGCTGGTAAGTGACAGCATCAGCTACTGCTTGGGTATCAGCTGCTGAGCCTGAGCGGCAGCAGAAAATATGATCATGAATAGGAGTTAGTTTGTCCGTCACTCGATTGGCGATGTAGGACCTGCAGGACGGCAGAAGAATGAAAGAAGGACCCTGCTTGCTTCTCACCACTCCACTACACCACTAACCACTCCCTCGGGCCTCAGCGATAGGAATACTAGTAGTATTACCTATTGGTTCTTACTGAAACGAAGGAGGACGCATGGAGAACAGACTTTTACAAGTAATTCATCAAAGGATGAAGGGAGCTGGAAGTAGCACATCGGGGACAGAATCTTATCTCTAAGGAGAGGAGAAACTACTCTTCCCACAGTGGTCTGAGGGGATTAAGGATGGACAGGCAGGCAGGGTCGGGAGGTAAAGATGTGAAGACTTTTCTGTTTTGGCCTCACCCAGTAGTTGTTCTGGAGTCCGCTCCCAGAACCACGCCCCCATTAAATTGCACAGCCATGATTGTGGTCTGGGGGAAAAAAAAAGGTGAGTCTGAGCCTTGCCAGCATACGTCAACCTCAGTCATTCCTCACTCAGTTTCCATTAATACAAAATGCGTTGAGTCACGGACCCATAATCAAATCTTATGGGGGGGCCTCAACACTCCAAAGAACACAAGGACGCCAACCTTCAGAGCCCAGGATCGGGACGTGTGTGCCTCGGCCCGCCGTTCAACTCACGCCATTCCAGCATCCTGGGCGCCTCTCCCTCTCCCTCCAGCATAGCAGCAGTCCACCTCTCCACCCACCTTCACTCTGCCCAACCCACTCAGGCTTTACGCCTTCCCTCGCGTCAGGCCGTGTCCAGTCTCTTGAATTCAGACTCTCTCCTCACCCCTGTGGAGACTTCCCGGTTTTCCCAATCTGGGGTCAGGGCCTCTGGCCCCCAGGCCGGTGCAGGTCCTACTCCGCGAGCAGCTACTAAGGTGTCCGCCATCTTCCTCCTCTACAGCTGCCACAAAGCAACTCTGTCGTAAAGCGCTCTGTCACTCGCTTTCGACACTAGCTGCCGCCTTCAGGGAGCGAAGCTAAACTGCAGTTAACGGCAGAAGGGAAAAGATAGGCGTAAGGACGGTTTGTTTGCGACAGTTGAGCACTAGATGGCAGCGGTTGACGGCAGAAGGGAAAAGATGGACGTAAGGATGGTTTGTTTGCGACAGTTGAGCACTTGATGGAAGTGTGCCAAGCAAGCAAGCAAGCAAGCATGCAAAAAAAGGAAAAGAAAAAAAGAAAGAAATCCTCCAAACCCACACTATTAGCCAGCTGTCTTGGAGGCGTGTCCAACTTGCAGCCTGCCTGTGCCCCGAGGTTCTCTATAGCTATGAATGCAGCACAAACACAAAATTGTAAACTTAAAATATTGAGGTTTTTTTGTTTGATTTTAGGGT